TGAAAACTGCATGAGATTTTGGCCAGTCATATGTAAGAGTTCCAGCCCCCCCCCCTCCCATATACCCTTGGCTCTTACCATGGACATGGATGAAATTTAGGGGTCATTTTCAAATGCCTGATTACAAGATTACAGTGATTTATTTCCGCCCTTACATAACAGTGTTGTTGGTGGGCAGAGGAAATCGAGTATGTATTGATCTAGTTAATTAGTGATTACAGATAGATTAAAGGAAAAGTGACTTGAAAGTGAATTCTCAAAATTGAGAATTCTGATTGTAATCAAAACTATATGAATTGACACTAATCGCACGGACATGGACTAGTATTTTGAATCAATTCATATCCTATCCAACAGCAAGTGAAATCAAATGATCAAGCTACATTATCTATTGAGTTTTTGAGGCGTACTTATGGCCACTTGTGTAATCATTAGAGTTTTTAATGGTCATTTTGACTATATATAATTGTTAAAGTTTTAAGCGCAGTTTTGGTCTATATGCTTATAATATAAAACTTTAAGAAGATGATTTGGTCTACGCTACCCTTTGCATTCGTTTGACTTCACTTCTTAAAAGAGAGCTTCGTCTTCGTAGTTTAACTAGACTCTGCACGCAGAGTAGGTCTACGCCATAACAAAACCTTTAAAAAGAGGCATACTATTGGTCTAGACCAGAAAGTAAGGCGTATTAGAGGTCTACTTTTAGAGCCCAATCTAGAAAATAAAAGATGGAATCATTACCCCCCCCCCATACATTCACTATAATTAAGTCGTTGGTGAGTTCGGATGTTTATCAAGTTTAAGTTCATGCTCAATCCAGATAACATCTTTATAATAAAAATAAAAAGTACAATTATGTAGATATATATCTCCGATATCTATACATTTCCTGTAAGAATGTGGCAACGAAAATGGTGCAACAAGACCTGGGCCTAAGACATGTTTGAAATGGGTAAACATTGCAATCGGTATGTTTCAAGGAGGCCTCTGGGGGAATGACGACCCATGAAACCTGGAACCTAGAAAATCATGTTTATAAATTATAGATCAATATATAATATTTTCAGGCCCGTAGCCAGGATTTACCGGGGGAGCGGTTTTACCATGGGGGGGGGGTTGCCAAGGGAGTGGGGGGGGGGGCTTTTTTGACTGTTTTGGCAAAACATCATTTGGCCAGGAGGGGGAGCGGCCGCTCCCTCCGCTCCCCTTGGCTACGGGCCTGAATTTGGAAAGCAGTTAAAATGTCGTCGTTTTGTGAAGAGGGGATGGGTGATTAGCAGCATTAGAAGTCGAACGAATGCAAAGGGTAGCCATAGACTATTAAGACCCTGTAATCATGATAAATCATGTCATCTTATACATTGGTATAACGATAGATGTATGTGCAATGTCCGAATAAATGATTGTGGCAAAGATTGCGATTTGCTAGATTCTGATTTTGGAATTTCTTTGATCAAATTGTACCTCACACGCAATGTCAGAAGTGAGATTGAATGTCCAAATAGCATAGTAAGAGCCCGACTAAGAGATGCCATTCCATTTTCTTGACGGGAGATTTATCGCTCAATCCCACACTAGACATTTAATGTTAAATAACAGTGAGATCTAAAATTCATATCTTAAAATCTAAAATCGAGTTTAGTCAGAGATTATAATTTCATTGGTAAAATGCAATCAGAAAGAACCTTTAGTAATAGTTGTTTATTTTAATGAGAGATTCATAAATTGGAACTTAAGTTGTAGCCACCATTTGTGAAGATTGCTGGGTCTAACACCTTAGTATAGTATACCCCCTCCCAAATCACAACCACAGTCTATTTTTTTTAATTAAAACTCTCCCTATCCTATAATGAAAATAAATATAATTGGAGTGAATTGCATGCATTTCGAATGAAGTTATCATATTTTTTAGTATTTTATTAGTTCAAACAGGTTTACATAAGATGCATAAAAGTGACAAAGGGAAACATTTCAATTTCTAACTCTACAATTGTAATCATACATGTACATATCAGACACATGTATACATGTGCATCAATTCATGATCTTCACTGGACATTATAAACATGAGCGAATAGGGGGGGGGGGGGACTTGGATTACGTCCTTTAGAATGTAGGTTTAGAAAACTGCAATAGATGCCATATTTCATGATAGGGGTTTTTTGAAGGAGCTTGTTCGTGAACGTGCAGAATTTTGGTCCTCTTGGAATAAGTTCTGCCTTTCGTTGTATTATTTGTCCGATTACTAGTAAGTATAAACACGAGGTGCCAACTCCGACCGTTAATTTGAATTTTATACCTACACCTGTTTGGAAATCAAGGATTGTGAATCAATATACTGCACCGTTTTTCTTCAAATTTGTTCCATTAAAAGAAAATAAATTTTTCTGATGGTTACATTATACTGTTATACAGACTGAGAGTCCCTCCTTTTAGCGGCGTTTGGATCCCCAGCTGTGAGAGGCGCTTCACACAGCTTGGGACCGGCCCCGACAGTAATGTACCGACAGAGAGGCATTTTTGTTTTGCTTTTAATGGAACAAAAACGGTACATTATGAGACTCATAATCCTTGATTTTAAAACACCTGGTAGGTTTGACATTCAAACTAACGGTCGTAGTTAGGACTCTGTGATAAATTTTTTATGCCCGGGGTTTGAATTATAAAGAATTATTAGGGGCCCTGGAGAAACCAATGTGGAGGGGTCATAATATTACGTTCACGTGCACTTTGTCTCTAAAACGTGTAGCTTCTCTCAAATGATGAAGTTAATACATAGGGGTTATGCACTGGAATGTTTTGGATATAGGGAATATTCTGAGGGATATTAATACAATATATCTTCCCGAGACTTCCCGCGTGTTAATGTCCTGTTTAAAAAACAATAGGCGTTACCAAGTGGGGGGGGGTACGATGGGTGCGAAAACCAATAAAAAATAGAACCATGAGATAGAAGAAGAAGAAAAGGGTAAAATGCTTTTTATTTTGAGCCTCTAGCTC